TATAGCTCAGACCAGAGGCTCAACTAGAATTTTTGAACTATATAACTTAGAAGTGGGTTTATCCATATTTTACGACAACAGAGGGGAGAAATTTAAAGAAAAAAAGCCGATAACTATTTCAATGGGCTGCAACTCTGAAAATAATGTGAATTTTTCAAAAATCACATAGTTGAGCCTCTGTACAGAGGTCTGAGCTATATACAGGCAAAATATTATTATAGTAGAAGCATTTTTCACAAAAGGAGAACATTTTGATAAAAGGTTATTCTAAGTTAATTTTTTGCCGAAATATTGTACTTAAATAATTTTTTTTTTGTCAAAATGTCCTTAAAACAATTTTATACATGTATTCTAAACTAAGTGACACTAAATATCGTGAAAATGATCCTTTTATGCGCTTTTTTAAAATCACGGTTCCGAACGTAGTCGGATACCTTAAAATGGTGACATTACTATTTGGTTTGAAGAGAGGAATATTACTTAAGCAAGTACTAGTAATGAGAAAGGATCTTTGGTAATTTCATAAATGAAAATCACAAAATTTATTAAACATTTATATTTCTTTTATATTCTGTCACATTCAGTTTCAATATATCTATATTCAAATTCAAATAATTTTTTTAATCTTTTTCAGACTGTGGAGTATATAAATTCTACATGTATGTATAAACGCAACGATGAATCCAATAATGGAGTACTGCTCAAATTGCCACGATTTCTGAAATCGATATTTAGAAACAACATTTAGTGATGATTTGAAGATGAAATATTATTATTATGTATAGTTTTTAACCAATATATAAATGATGTTACTATTGTAAATGCTTATTTCATGTACATATTTGAATGTGTTTTTCAGCTTTAATTTTTGGCTGTAATAAATAAAATTCATGTATCATATATTTCTTTAACAAATTTTGATATCTTTAATTTGTTTATCAATAAAAACAGAAATTTTTTTTTCTGAATATATTTAATTCATTTTCAGAACTGATTTTAAATGAAAGAATTTCAATAAATAAACTAATGCTTTTTGAAAAACTGAATTTTCATTATGAAAGAAATAAAATGACATTGGAAGTACACATAAAAACTAAATTCGTTTTGTATATTACCCACAAATATATTATTTTAATAAATAATAAACGCATACAGCATAAGGGCTGAATGTATCAACACAAGTATTGGGGGGGGGGGCACAATCTTAATTATTTTCTTTTAAATATTTAAACTGTTAGTGGTATTTAGCTTTAACTATCGTGTTTTGTGATTAAATAAAATATTTTTTCTATGTCCATGATTACATAAAAAAATTAATGAATAAATACCATAACCTAAAAAAAATTGTGTGTTTCACAGAAGTTTACATTTATTTTTAAATGTGCTGTGTGAGATATGAAGAATTTCTTCATTTTGTGCATAGTAAGTGAATAATTATTAAGATTGATTCATTGAATATTAACGTCGCACTGTCCAGCTACACGAGAGCTTTTAGCGACGGACCACGTAATTTTGAACCATGGTCAAGTGACGTGGACTACACCTGAACTGGCACCCCCTCTCCTAACTACCATACCACACCAACGGGAGGACGTTTCAGCTCTCGACAGATTTGACGTGCAACGCTGCCCTACACGGTGGGTCTTTAGTGGTACCTATACCGAATAATTATTAAGAACTAAAATTTTTGAATAATTACTTAGAATTTCTGTTAGTAAGATAAGTTTCTAAAAATACAGCAAGTAAACAAGGTGTAATGTCATCCATTAACTTTTACATTCAGTGCATTGAACAATGCCATTATTTTCATATAACATTAATTTTAAGTAATAATAATTTTAAAGTATGGTGGCTTGACAACAAAAATTATCAAGCGTGAGAAATATGCTTGAAATATACATGGAAGTGTTTCTCAAACTTTCAAAAATATTTGCGAACCAATCATTATTCAATCATAATTTTCATCGGCGCCCCCCCCTTCTTCATTCAAACAACAAAGCATTGAATTCATCAACAACATTCTTTGACATTAAAACTACAATACGACTTTTTGCCTCTGAAGTGCCACCGGTGTATATATACGTCTTGTTTAACCGGTGCGTTAAATTCTCTGGACGTATATATACTTCTTTCCGAAGTACAATCTTTTTTGTGCATTACTATCCATAAAGTTATTCCGAAGGCTTTGGAATGCAATAAAAGGACCTTGACAGAGTTTGCGAAGGATTTACACATCAGAGGACATCATAGACATAGATTAACATCTGGATTTACCATACATCACATACGCGTGCCTACGTGGAAAACGGAGGCGTTGGAGAGCGAATCACGTAACTTTTAATCAGCGGTTAAGGGATTATTAATTATAAACTGTACAAAAAAGTTATTAAGATGTGTTAATTTTTGTACATAAATTTATATATATGATAAGCCCATGAGGTCACTGGTAGTTATTAAACTTGTTCTTAACTTAGTATTGTTAAATTAATTATAAAATACATTATGAAGTATACTGATACATTTGCAAGTATATTATAACTGCGTATAGTAACTGTGTATTTTATTTTTTGCTATGTCAGAATGTATTTTGCTTGTTTACTTTCAGCAAATTATAATACTTTTTCAAAATAATCTTTTGATTTCGATTTTTCAATATGCTCGCACCCCTCTCGTAGAGTTATCACGCCCCCCCCTAGGGGTTAAGTTTATTTTACAGCACACTATGTGTACGGTCTGGTCTAGTAATAATTTATTTGATATTTTGAATTAATTGTTGAATACTTTGTATTTTTAAATCAAATAATTCCAAAAATTTCAGCTGTAGAACTTCAGTAAAGTAAACCTTATAATTTTTTTTTTACTTATCAATAATAATTTTTCCTTACATCAGTCTTTTTTCATTTAGTGAGAAATTACTAATAGACTCTTTACCAATTCTGAAAGGTCTTAAGATGTTGCACAATCCTCTTTTACTACTTCAACTTTTTAAAACTTTTGTTGAATTTTTACAAGTTGCAAATTAAAGTTTTCTAAAAAAAATTTTAGACACATAGCAAATATATCAAACTTTATACTAATCTAAAGAAGCTATGCATATGGACTTTTCATAAAAGCATTTCAACCATTTACAATTATCTTCATGTGGATTTTTTAAATTCATTATATAGTTTCTTTTATCGTTATTGAACTTAATTAAGACATTTGGTTAAAGTGTAGTATAGGAGGGAATGTCAATTTCTTTTGGAAGCTACTTCATTTAGCGATAGGTGTCCAGAAGCCAGAATGAATTCGTTATCTCACCATGATATCTAATTAAAAATCGCCAAATCCAAAGGGCTCCCCCTATGCTACACTTGGCCGAGATATTTTAACATGAAAAATACAAACATTTGTGAATATTGTCTGTCAGTTTGATCACAACATCATAAATATAAGTATACTCATCCAAAGTATTTTTATTACACATTTTTACAAGTATGTACAAGGTGATTAAAATTATGAATAGTTGTGCTATATTTCGAAGTAAAAATAATAAGCGAATAATCAAAACGTCATAAGAAAATATTTCTACATTTGATTATTTCATTTCCTAATTATTTTCGGGGGACTTTAGTGAAGCATAGGGAAAATTTTGCTAACATAAAAATCTTTTTACTGTAAGCAAAACAGTATCAAGTTTTATCTTTTAATATATTAGATTTGTATAAAGGCTTTCATTTTGCTTGAAGCTCAGTCCCTTGGAATAACTCTGAAGCTTTCAAACTCTGAAGCAGGAGGAATTGAGAAGCTTTGAAGCAAGCAGCTAATTACAAGGAACACCTCCATTTGTGCCAGTGATTCTCCAATACAAGCTCTCTTTCCTAAAACAAATACAATAAATCACATGACTATCATATAAAATAAATAATATGCCTGCTTTCACCAGCAATGGATTTAATTTTTAAAAATTGTTCTATGCAAAATTTTTTTTATTGAATTAAGAGACTATGTTATTGAATATATACGCTGAGTGGCCAAATTATTCTGACCATCCCTTCCATATAATACTGAACCACCCTTTGCCCTTAATATTGCATGGATTCCCCTTGGCTTGAACTCTATGAGCTGTTTGTAGGAGGTATGAGGAATTTGAGTTCATGTATGATGGATTGCACTTTCGAATGACTTCGGATTGAATGGTACTGAATCCAGCTGCGAAATTCCAAATTTAATCTCATCTCCCAGATTCTCAACTGGATAGAGATATGGTGATTGTGTAGGCCAACTTAACATGGTAAAGTCTCTGTCATGCTCTTTGAAGCATTCGGAGACAATGGCAGCTGTATAATAGAGAGGTATCGTCCTTCTGAGCCTATCCATCTCTGTGTTGCAGGGCAGTTATTAATATAAAAGGATGTATTTGATCAAGTTAACAGGTCATCGGCTATCTTAGTCTATACCAGGGGAGGTCATCCCGCGGCCCAACTTGAATAATTTTGTGGCCTGCGAGATTCATTGCAACTTTACAAAATACGATTATTTTCTGCAATATTTTTGTTTTTAGTGTTGTGTTTCGTAAGAAATAGATCCCATAACTGTTTCTATTTTATTACGTTGCTTCTGTTTTTTTTACATATTTAGAAGTGGGCAATATTGCATTTCAGCGATTCCCCCCTCCCCCCTACAGGATCAAGCTTGATTCCTATAACGCCCTGCTTATTGTTAAAGCTGGATAATAATAATTCATTTTGTTCAGTTCCTACTATTAGTTCATAATCTCCCTATATATATATATATATATATATATCTTGTTCAAATTTTCAATCTTTAATAAGAAAAATACTTTCTATTGATCAGTACAAGTTCAAATACATTTTTTTAAAAATTGTAGTGGATGACACTTGATATTAATACAGTTTTTTCAAATATTAACTCATTCGTTAAACTTAATTAATGAATAAATAGTAACAAACAAAAACAATAGTCCAACACCACATATAAAATGAAAAATATTTCGTTGTGTCTCTGTAACGCAATGGATAGCGCGTTGGACTTTTAATCCAAAGATAGTCGTTTCGAATTTTACCTGGGATTCTGAAAATGTGATTTATGAATGAATATGTGAAAATGTCTGATTATGAAAATGAAAATGTGATTTATGAATGAATAAGTAGTAACAAACAAAAATAATAGTCCAACACCATATACAGAAAATAAAATTAAAAAATCGCTTTCCATATTTTGACACTTAATATTGTGATTCTGTCATATGTATGTACATATTTATATTAATTGCAATTATTTAATAAAAAGTAACTAAAATAAAATTTTTCTTTGTTGACCTAAGTAGGAATTGACTTTCATTTTTTAAATTTTTATTTATTTTAAATTTACACTCCAATAAATGTTTGTAATGAGTCCAAATCTAATATAAAGACATATATTTTTATATGGGGAGATTATGGTATTTTCCTAAAGTGGACAGCAAGGTCATTTGGGTTGGCCACCCCTGGTCTATACGGTGTAATGTGCGGCAAACAGCTCATTCAGACATCGCAGTTGCTATTTGATTAAATTTCCCGGCAATTTGAAGTACGGTTGCACTTCTGATGGACTGGACAACGTTCTCAATCCTCCTTTCTGAGTAAACTTTCAGTAGCCTGTAATGTCCATAAGCCTGACGTTGAGACCCAATCATCTGCTTGCGAATGTAATCTCTGTAAACATTAATAGTTATTGCACTCAAACGTAAGTGCAGCCGTTTTGCTGATAGTAGTTTCGACGTTCCGAGAGCCTACAATCACCTCGTTTTCAAACATAGCTAAATACAGTGTCGTAATTGAGAACATTTGGGCCCCCCTGCAAAGTCAGGTCTTAGGCCCCCTTAGTTGGATTTTACAAAGAGTGGGTACTTGGCGGCAGTCAGGTTTTGGGCCCTCTAGAACCCTGAGCCCCCACAATGTGGGGGTTTACGTTACCACTGGTTAAATATACCCTTTTTTTTCTCTACTTCCCGCAAGATATTCCCTAATACTTCGCAGTGCAATTGATACTTCGCTAATACTGTATTCTCTATTAATATCTATTTTATTTTCTAGTCCAGTGCTTCTCAAACTTTCAATATACGTGACCCACTATTCAATCATCATTTTCATCGCGCCCCCCCCCCAAACAATAACAATGTATTGAATTGAATAATACTATACTTTGACACTAATGCTACAATACGACTTTAACCTCTTATGTGCCATCGACGTATATAAACGTCTCGCTCAGTCAAAATATTAATTTTCTGGACGTATATATACGTCTTCCCGAAGTACGATCTTTCCTGTGGACTGCTATCCATAAAATTATTCCGAAGGCTTTGAAATGCAATAAAAGGACCTTGACAGTGTTTGCGAAGGATTTACTTATTTCAGAGGATTTGTTTATTTATTCCATTTCTCCTCCCATTCCCCTTAAAAAAAACATCCAAATACGCTCGTCTACATGGAAAACGGTGGCATTGCGGAGCGAATCGAGTAACTTTTAATCGGCAATTAAGGAATTATTTATGAACCGTACAAAAGAAATTATCAAGATAAGTGGTTAATACAAACCCATGGGGTCACTGATAATTATCAAATTTGTTCTAAACTTATAGTATTGTTAAATTAATAATAAAATACATTGTACAGTATTGATACATTTATAAGTGTAATATATCAGTGTAAATGTGTATTTTATATTTTATTATATTAGAAAGTATTTTGTTTGTTTACTTTCAGCAAATTAATATTTTAAATAATCTTTTGTTTCCGACCTTTTAATATGCTCGCGTCCCACTGGTACAGTTATCATGCCCCCCAAGGGGGGGGGGGCGCCGCACATTTTGAGAAACGCTGTTCTAGTGGCAACTGAGCGAAGTTATAGCTGATCTCTATTGTATCAAGTGTCCATAATAATTTGGCCACTAAGTGTGTATTGCGATAAAATTTTGAAAAGAAGCTACGTAACGCTTTTATACAGACTAAGACAATAGTTCCCTAATATCTCAAAATGCATTTAACTTTCGAAAAAATTAATTCATTAATTGCAATGTTTTTGATATTTCAATAGAGAATTGTATATTATTAAACACATGTACGTATTTCATATTTTTAATTATCAGATAAAAAAAATCATTTTGAAAGTGCCGAGAAGATTGTTTTATTTGAGTGGAAAAAAATGTCCGCTGCTTTCAAACTGTTATAAGTCAAACATATTAACAAATTTTTACCTCTACTTCTTTAAATTCAAAAATTATTTTAGTATTTTCAAATAGATTTCTATGATTTTTTGACTTCTGGGAAAAAAAGTGTTTTAAGAGAAAAATAGTATTTTGATCTCTTTTTTTTTGTAAATTAATCTTATGTAACAATGAATCATTCGAGAGCATAAGTACTCACTAAACTTATTTATGACTTTTATTTTTATAAAAGAATTTGATTTATTTAAACACGAAACTATTGAAATTCAAAAAAGGATGCTTCCAAATCTGAGTCTTAATTGCAATGAAATACTTGCAAAAGAAAGAATTCACCGAAATAAATTTCGTCTACGCATTTAAACAAAGTATTTCGATTTCAAAAAAAAAGAAAAAAAAATCTATTAGTCTTAAATCAAAAAGCTACTAAGAAATTACGCCATAAAAGTCTTTGTACACTTAACAAAAATCTTAACATAGCTTTAAATGTATTGTATTTCTTTCTTAATTTAGTACTTAGTAGGATACCTTTTAGTTTCCACAACAACTTTTGAGCTTCTTGGTATAGATTTAATCAGTTTTTTGCAATTTCTGCATCGATTTTCCTCCCTTCTGCTGTGATTATTGTTTTTACTTCACATTTTGTGTTTATTTCTAATGTTTACTTTTTTTTTTTACATCAAAATCTCTCAAAATATGTTCTACTGGGCTAAATAAAGTGATTGAGGAGGTGTTTTCATAATTTGGGGACAGATGTAGAGACACCAGTGGCGTACATTGAGAGCAGTGCGTTTGGCGTCATTACCCTGTTAAAAAATTAAGTCGTCTCCAATATCCAAATTTTGGGAGGATAATTTAAAATTTCTCTTTAAAATATTTCAATAGAGCTCATGATTCACAATATCAACAAAAAATACCAAATTACCTAATTCTGTGGCCAATTTACACCCCACGCACGAACACTTACACCTCCATGTTTTATTGATCCAACTAGATTCTTGGGATTAAGTTTCAGGGAATTCAAAATGGACAGCAAATTGACTGGGATGGCAGATAATTCAACATTTTTGGTTCCAATTTGCCTATAATAGCTAGTAAATGAAAAAATAAGGAGTTTAATCCCATGAATTTATTTGGAACAAGAACTCCTCCACCTCCATGCTTCAGCATTGACGTGAAGGTATTCTGGCGTGGGGGGGGGGTGTAAATTGGTCTCAGAATTAGGTAATTTGGTATTTTTTGATGGTATTAAGATAATCCTGAGTTCTATTTAAATATTTTAAAGAGAAATTTTAAATTATCCTCCCAAAATTTGTATGAAGTATTTGAAGTGCATATGGTAAAATTAGAGAAGTTATAAAAAACCAAATATGAGAGTTTTGAAGTATTTTAAATATTTTTAATTGAAAATAAAGCGAGTATTACTGTCTCTCTGATAACCTAATTACCTAACATTCAAACTCTTCGAAAGAAAGCTTTAATTATTATCTTGTTGAAGAAATGAAAAAAATTGCAATTGGGTGCATCCTTTCCAGGGAAACATTACTACTGGCATACTATTGAAAGAACTTATATATAATATTCTATCCAAAAATACATTACTGAAACTGAGTTTTAATCGAGGTAAAAGGACATTATTTTGGATATCTTTTTCAATTTTTTCTACTGAAAGCTTTAAAGATATTCTATTTTACATCTTCATTCTTTTGTGAAATAATACACTCATGGACAAAAAAATTAGCACTCCAAGAAATAATTACGGGATCGTAACGAAACTTGGTGTGAAGGTACATGTCAGAGAGATATGCAAATGATTATATATATAGAAATGCAGAGTGATTACACATTACGTATTGCCGGTAGAGGGCGTTTAACGTCGTTCTCAGTGAAGTATAAAACAGCTAACCAAAGCTTGTTTGAGTGTGCTGAAAGGTTTACAAAAGAAGAGCTGAGGTCAACATACCATTACGCCATTTTCGAAGACAATATGAGCAGCTGTCGCAGTTTGAGAGGGGGAGAATCATCGGTATGATGAAAGCTGGGTAGTCAGCTAGGCAATTAGCTCGTCAATTTGGCCGCTCTGATTATGTTGTGAAGAGGTGTTAGGACCAGCGAATTCGAGAGATGTCATTTACACGAAGACCAGTCTCAGGATGCCCTCGACAGACCAGTCGTCGAGAAGACCACCACATCGTTAGAAATGCACTCATACAGTCAACTGCTTCATCGGCCACCATCCAGACAAATGTAGCGCCTTCACTAGGGGCCCCTGTGTCTTCTAGAATAATACGAAGGCGCCTGGCTGAAGGACATTTGGGATCGTGGCGCCTAATACGTGTGCTGAGCTTGACGCTCACCCATCGATGCTTCCGTTTGGAGTGGTGCTGTGCACGAGGAAACTGGACTGCAGTGGAATGGAACCAGGTCGTCTTTAGCGACGAATCCAGTTTCAATCTCAGTGATGACAATCGTGTTCGCATGTGGAGACCCCGTGGTGAACGCCTCAATCCTGCCTTTGCTTTACAGCGACACACCGCTCCCATAGCTGGTGTGATGGTATGGGGTGCCATCGCCTATAATACCCGGTGACCCTTAGTACTGATCCGGGGCACCATGACAGCCCAGCGGTATGTTCATGACATCCTGAAACCACATGTTACCACTCATGCAACGGCTCCCACGAGCCATTTTTCAACAAGAAAATGCTCTGCCTCACACGGCAAAGTTATCCCAAGATTATTTCCGCACTGTTACTACCCTTCCTTGGTCTGCCAGATCCCCAGATTTGTCTCCAATCGAGCATATCTGGGATCATTGGGATGGCGAGTTGGGCATCCCACGAGTTTGAACGAACGAGAGGCAAGTT